GTGTGTGTGTGTGTGTGTGTGTGTGTGTGTGTGTGTGTGTGTGTGTTTGTTTTCTCAAAGACAGTGAAGATGAAATGTCCAGCGATAGCCTGAATCTGGCTTCACATGAAGATGACTCTTCAGACGAGGAAGCACAAATACAAGAATCTTTAAGAAGAAAGACATCTACAGAAAAGGAAGCTAGTGCTGCAGTGTCTCAACTAGACTATTTCTTTGTTCCGGCTGAGACAGATCTGCAGAAAGATAAACCAGAACAGCAGTCAGAACCACTCATGGTAACACACTTCCACATTCCAATGGGCTTTGTTATTCTTTTAAAGTGTTAAGATTGGGTTAAAAATGTCAAAGTTTTGAGAAGTGCAACAGCGTCTTAGCAGGATAAAACAATCTCTTGACAGGTCTGTACATGTCAGAAGCTGTTGTCAAACTAATACTTGATTGACTATTGAATATTACAATACCTGTTCAATACAATTTACCTTTGCTTTTTTACATCCACCGAGTGAATGGAAAATTAATTTGTCAAATATCAATTCTCGTGCTCTGAACTTTATCTTGGAAATATATCTAGCAGACAAAAGAAAAAATATATTAATGAGTTTTTGAAGTTCATTACCTTGGACATAATTATAGCATAGAATGAGAGGAACTTAGTGACTTTGTTAGTTGTGATTTTTATTGTCACTGACATGATCTATTGGATAGCATTCGTATCACACTAATTATGTTACATTCTTTATCTGTAGCTCAGTAATTTGTAAGCTGTGATGTTAAAGGTGCAAACTGTGAGAGAAAAAAGAGAAACAGTGAGTTAAAAATATTTTCAATTGTTTCAGATGACTTATATTTTATTTAATTGAAATGAATCTTTGTCAGTGTGACAGGAATGAAAAAGACGGAGCCAAGTTTAACTATATATATATAGTTAAACTTGGCATATCAATATGATACTAAACATATCATATGATTGTACAAATGGACTGCCAATATATTTTTTCTAACTATAGCTTTGCTTATAGACCTGATCAATTATGCTCTCTTTTCTTTGCACCATTGTCCTTCTTTTTGTTTATCTTATTTTCCATTCTTTTCTCAGTTCTTTCTCATTTGTGTTTTTCCTTTATGTCTTGAACTGCTGCATCCTTCACACTGAGCAGATATTGTTCAGCACATTATTATTATTATTTTTTCCCTGTTGCACAGCATCACTTTGTACGGTCTCCTGCCATTTCTTTGTCTATATTTTACCATCTTCCTCTTGTCTCTCCCCATCCACGCTACTTCCTTGCTYGGAGCAGCGTTATTCCCTCATGTCTTTTTTCCTATATCCTCCTAGCCCATCTGCAGTGTCTTGCAAGACTAGCATGCTAATGTATCAGATCTAATCTTAACTAAACAGAGCCTCCTCACTTTAGTCCTGTCTCACAGGAGGACACTTCCATGGGAGGAACAGCTAACACACAAAACAATTGTGAGATGCTCTTCCCAGCTCCAGGGGTTAATTAAAAATCAATTCATCAAGTGGAAACAAAGGAAACAGAGAGCGAGAGAGAGTAATAATCTCTAGTAAAGGACATTGTCTTATTAATATGCATTTACATTTCCAACATAAAACACATTTAAGCCACTTCAGTAAGCCACAATGATGCATTTTCAATTTGCAATGTTTACAGACAGGGTTAAAAAGAAGCAAAGTTTTGAGATAATGCTACTTTCATATTCTGTTGCATTTTTGTCCTCATTTGTTTGGTTACTCTTTGTCATCAAATATTAATTTGTGGATTCTTGTTACCTCCCTTTGTGGAGCATTTTTTTAAAAAATCTCATCGCAGCATTACATGCTTCTCTCACTCTGTTCATTTTTCATTCCACCATCTTCCTTCTGTCCCTCATTCTCCCCTGTCCCTCCATCTGTTTCTGTATCCCCTCAGGTGATGCAACACCAGAGTGTTGGGCCTGGATCAGAGCAGTTCTGTGATCTGGACCAGTTTTTGCCTTTAGGTTTGGACACGAACACCGGTCACTCAAACTCACCAGAAGACGAACGCTGTGACCGATCTCGCTCATGCCATCATCCAGCGCGTGACTTAAACCCAACAGGTTAGTTAAAAGGAAGGAAAGTCTTTTCCTGTGTTTGGTGTTTTTAATTGTGAATTCTTATGCTTCAGGCTCATTAGGTTTAATCAATCCAAATCATGTTTTTTTTTCCCTATAAGCTACATCAGTAACAATCACTGATGTTTTTGTGTTTCAAAGAAAAATGATTGTACAAATTACCTCTGTGTCCAACTTTAGCTCGAAAATACTTTCCAATTTACCAGCATTATTCATATCACAAAGGCCTCATAATAGGATTTTGAACAAATATGTAAAAATGGAGAGCTTACWWGAGACATGAAAATGAGTTTAAAACCCAAAGGAGTGCTGGCTGCTTGGTGAAACGAGAGAGATGGGGGACAACACAGACAATTTACTTCCCGTGGGTCCAAAGGGAGCTTTTCTCAGATGTGCTTTTTTTATTTTGTGTGTATCTGTTTGTGTCGTTGCCTGTGCATCTGAGCCCGTGTGCTTCTTTATATCTGTATTTAGTTCCTCAGTTCCTGGAGAAAGAGGCACACACACAGATCAAGACAGGTGTCGTTCCCCAGCCACCACCCCTCCCTGCCCCACAGAAGTACTGTGAATGTCTGTATTCCATCAAAGGAACTCATACAGAGATGACACATCCTTTTTTGTCCCGTTTAGTCCTCAACTTTAGAGAAGAGGTAATGATGCTTGTGTCCTTCATAAAGATACAAAGCATACTTTGTCTTCATTTTAGCAAATCTTTTTAAGCACGTCATATCCTGTCACTTTTTTAGTTTGAGGAGTTTTTTTTTTTTTCTTTGCCTTGCAGACAGCTTAGATTAATGAACAGCTCTGGATATGTACCAGTTTTACTCTAAAAAATGTTGGCAGGAATAATTCGTATAAAGACCAAAGMAAATGTTGACTTCATTTTAAAGTAAATGTCACATTCTAGTTTGAGGATTTATTCAAAAAATTTAGATTCATGAGGAGGCTATGGTAGCTTGGTGGTCAGTGYGGCGCTCTCATAATCCTGAAGCTGCCAGTTTAATCCTAGTGTTCTAACTTTGGTCATACAGAGTTTTGTTTCTGTGCCTATGATGTGTGTAAATTAGTGTTCAGGTAGCCAGCTGTGATTGGACCAGAAAACCAAGAAGCTGAACAAGGATTGTCTGCTTGATGAGAAGTGCTGCATACAGATGTTCTATGGACGTTTTTTCTTGTTTTTTGCCTATCCCAACCAGTCACACCTGACCCTCTATTCTCCATCAGCCAAACTAGTTTGTAAACAGTTTTGTGGGGGTGAACAAGAGCTCTACTAGTACCAGTATTGTCCTAATGTTCAGTTACTATTTGACCATGTGTTAAAATGGTCTATAAGACAGCAGTAATATTCACACTACTTTGTTTTTCTCAAACAACCACACAAATTGCACTTTAAATCAAATTTCACCTTGTTATACTGTAGTGTGAAAAAAGGGCACAAATGTTTTGCTTTTCTCTGTTGAAGGAAAAATATAGTTTTTCGGTGAAGTGCACTGAAGTAAAATTTGGGTGTGTCGTGTTCTCACTTACCTTTTTATTAAATCCTGCAGGTCATTTGTGTCAAAGTTGGTGAAAATATTTTGATTCATTTACAGAAACCTGTTTTGTAAACTGACTGTAACTTCTGTTCGTTGCTCMTTTGCAACAAACTTGATAAAATTCCCTCCAAGTTTCCATAAAATTTTGTGATCAAAAGACAGAAATGTAAAAATGGATAAGCAACACAAGATGTTATATCAACAGTGTTCCTTGAATAAAAACAATTTAAAACTAGAATAGGTATTGCTAACTAAATTGAAGGGTTCTGCATGCAAAGTAAACACAAAAATATGCCAACAACTAGTGTAAGACACTACTTTAATTACAGCAGAGATATTTAAATAAAGCAGTTTCATAGAAGACACAATGTCATGAAAACCTATTAAAGCATAAAAGATAAATTCAGCAATAATTTGTGACTCTTGTTTTAAGAAATAGGAATCACTGCAAACAAATCTAAAATAATATGCCTGTATTTATTTATTTATTGAATGAAGGACTAAGAACCAGGTCAATAGAAAACTGATGACTCAAAGATGATAAAACAAGATGTAAAAATATATTTTAATAAAGCAACATGTTTAATGTCATTTGTTTTATCTAACAGACACCTGCAGCACAGCTGCTGTAAAAAGTCTCRAGCTGAAACTTTGGTAGCTCATATGAGTCTGAAGAACATGATCTTTAGTGGTAGTGATACATTTTATGTTTTTGGCCACTGCATGTCATATTTTTTAACACTTGTAATTTGTAGACTATGCTTGAACCAATCAGGCCTTTAGAAATGGCGAGACAAATTTGACAAATTTTATGAGGCTTTAAATAATTCTACTGGTACTAAATCAAATGCTATAATTCCACTACTTGGTGTTCATTACATTTTGTTCCCGTGTCAAAAGCTGTTGAGTTACATTCATTTAAAAATTGGGTATTATGTTAACTCTAAGGGAAGAAAATACTCTATTGGGTAGCTTAAAATAAGCAAACGTCTCCTATAATGACTTTATAGTTTTGTTGTCGTGTTGGTGACGAATGAGACTGACGTTGAGAAACTCCAAGTAAATAGGCCGCTACAGTCTTCACACCATGCAGCCAGCCACTCATCAAACCCCACATCGTCTCTGCCACCATTGTTAAAGCTCCCGAGATAATCAAAGAGAAAGGTAACAGGAGAGCAATATCACCTTGACAACACTTCACACTCATTTATGTCCCCTCCATCTGTCTCCTCTTTTTTTCTCTTGCTGTTTTTGAATGAGACTCAGATTCTATATGTCTTATGTCATCATCTTTTCTTTTTAAACATTTTTTATCCCTCTCAATTTCAGAAAAACAAGCTTGCCAGTATGCCGTTCTTGTTGCTTGTGAACGTAGCCCAAGAAAAATAAAAACAAAGCAATGTAATCAAAACGGTGTTCTCAGCCTGCATAAGTAGAGAGTGAGAAAAGAAATGTAGGAAGGTGCATGTAAACACTTACATTAGGATGAGCTGTGGTGCAGCAAATTRGGAGAAGAAATTCACAGACTGATAAAAGCACAGGGAAAGAAAAAGCTGCATGAACAAAAGACACTCTGGCTGACTAAGGCTGCCCTTTTTCCTCTTTTCCTTGTTTTATTTTCAGCTGATTTAGTCTAGTTAGAAGATTCTCCATCCAGTCAATAGAAATAATTAATTGGCTGACCGCTGGAGAGAATGAAGAAAACAGCAATAATTGCTTTTCAGCTGTCAGGATTGGCTGAGTAGGCTTGCTGAGCAATACCAGTTTGGTACAAATGCCACAGCTGAAAGGGGAAATAGAATATTATTTAAATGTAGATACTAAAGTCAACTGAAATGGTTTATAGATTTCCTGACATTAAATGGCCAAGGTCTTCTGTGTAAACTGGGGTCTTTCAGTATGTTATACAAACTAGAATTCAGTGAACTTTGGTTTCCTGGTAGTAGTTGTGAKTAGTTTTATTACTGCACCATCAGCACTAACAGTTTAACCCTGTAGAGAACAATTAAAACTGTGGMTTAAAGATTTAATGTAAAGCATTGTTGCATGTGTTGTCACCTGTGGTTACATTTACAAAAGTGGTAGACATCACTAATCTAAAAAKTAGTTCCASTAGCCCTAAAACACTAACTCAAATATTTAAGTCCCCTAATTCTAAAGCAGTAATGCACTGAAAGCTTTAGCAAAAGCTAATTCTWAAGCACTAAAATAGATCAGTCAACCCATGAACATTCTTCAACAGACAACATGAGTCACATATTGATTGCCATGTTGCTCTCTTAATACTTATCATTGACATCCCACAGTCATTTTTGGGTTCATATATTGTTAATATATCATCACCTGGTGGATAAGTGACACACGTATGAACAAARYATGACAGYTTTCACCCTCAGCTGTTAACATTAATGTTGATCAGTAACATTTATAGACCTCAGTTAGTGCTTCTAAATTTAGCCTATAAATTTAGCAAGTGCTAATCCACTAATAAATTGTAAAATTTGCAAAASCCCTAAAGCACTAATCAGGAAAGTAGTTCCCCTATTAGTGCTTTAGGGCTTTAGGGGAACTGTGYCCACCACTGCATTTGTATCATCTGAATGTCAAACAATTAAGCATCAAGAACGTTTGATTTAAGTAACAGATTGTGCAACACTGTTCAGGGTTTTATCGTGCACTTTTACATTCTGGGTGGTATTTATGTGCAGACATTACTTCAATGCAATGACTGCACACAAATTGTCTCACCCAGAAAAGTGTAAATTGTTTAGCCATTACAAAAGAAAGAAACTTTTGGARCTAGATGGCAAACAAAATGCTTTGTTGCTTTCAATTCAACTATAAAGTGCAACATTTGTAATTATTTTGTATTCTATACTGCAGCTGTTTTAAAGCATGACAATGGTAGCAGAAGAAAGCTGAAGTGGATGGTGTAATAGAATGCTTGTAAAACTTTGCCACTAGAAAAGTAACTGGATGAAAAATTGATTGAATGCACAGCTTCATTCTGCAAATACAGGGAAGTTTTTTTATTCCAATTTTCTGTTTCTAAACCATCAAAGCCATATATATAAACAAGTGCATTCCTTTCTAATATTACTTTACAATCTAAGGGGTATTTGTTCCTTACTTTAGAATAGAAGAGTTTACGAAAAGAACATCCTGACAAAAGAGTGAGTGAAAAACTCGGGATCCAAAGTAGAAATCCCCTAGAACTAAAGTGAATCACTGATTCACAAGAATGAAATGTTTTATCTTTACAATACATTTTTAATTTGGCCATCTATGTTTTTGTTTTATTTATTTTTAAGCTTTATTTTACAGTGCCTCGCTCAGTTTTGGTTGTTTAAAGTGTGCTTTATAAATACTTGATTTGATTTCTGCATTACATTGAAGGGAACTTTATTCTGTTTCACAGATTTTTAAATGTACTTCACATATAATTATACATTTTTTATGTACTGTGATTAAGCTGTGAATAAATAGTAGTGTGTGTGCGCTCTGTTTTGAGTGACTTGTGATATGGGTCATCTCAGTACAGACTGTACTTTTGAGGGACAGTTTAGATAAAACACGATTCCCACTAAAAAATCAAAAAAACAAAGCCATTTTTTAAATCAGATTGCAGAACTTGTGTTAAGACCGAACTGCTTGGCAGGAAGGGCCTTCTTCCTTCTGTGTTTTGAGTCTCATCCTCGTATCACCCAGCATCACTGCTGGAAAGACCAGCTTGACCTCCTCTAAGTTCTTCCACAGTCAGCCAGTCTATCGTCCTGACRCTCCAGGAGATGTTCGGCTGCGGGTTTCCCTCAGCTGAACAGTTGAGAGTGAGCAGAGCCAGCCATCTCGACCACAGATTCTAAAAAAAAATCTATGACAACAGAAGCATCTGCAGGAGAGAGGAAGAGTAATCTGGATTCAGAGGGAGGAGTCGAGATTTAGAAGGAAGARTCAAATTTTTCAGAAAGAGGAGTCAGGATTCAGAGGGAGGCGTCAGGACTCAAACACAGTCAATCTCAGATGTAGACCACAAGAGACCATCTGAGCTTAGTGGATTAAGCACAGACAGGCTCATAACTGAATTGTGACTCACAGAGGATGTTCACTCCCCAAAGGGAGTGATTCAGTCAGAAGGTTTTGGATAAGAGCTATGATTTCCCAGTTCATGGCCAAAACTCCAAGACTTCTGTTTTGGTCCAGCTGTGTGCTGTGTAATACTTTGCAATTATATGTTCAAGTCTAAAATCTGAATTTATCTCATGGTTTCGTTCTCACCATGATTCTTTACATATCTTTATATGAATACAATGACAGTGGAAGCCCATTTGCAGAGACAAAGAAGACAAGAAGTCAATTTCCAAACAAAAACACAGAATTACTTTGGAATGCATCACAATACATGGAGTGAGAGAGTAGCTCTTATCAGAGCTACTGGCTGTCTGCCTTAAAAAAAATCCCACAGACAGTGCACTTCACTCACACAAATCTCAAAAACAGATGAGCCAGACAGTGCCTCTAACGTGGCACAGGGGTTATCACTGAAAGTCTGACTTTCTGAAACAGCCCTGACAGTGAGAGGGACATTGCAAAAAGTCAACTTTTATGAATTGTGTCCAAAAATACAAAACATTGCCTGCGTCTTGGCTCAAGCCTCTATGATTAGCTTTTGTCAAAGAAGATGAAACACAGCCAGAAAAAACAATGTGAGTTTAAATTTGGCCAAGTATATCTAACTGACTTGAATCCAACAAAGTAGAGCATTGACTGATTCTTCAAAAAGCAGCTGGAAAAAAAAAAGGATTTTGGAAGCTTTCAGGAATTTTCTGCAACTGTTGTATCCTCCACACTACCCAGAATTGAGTCTATCAAAACTAAATCTGAACACAAATGGGCTGCAAATACAAGATTTTATTTGCAAATCATGAAAGCGTTTCTACAAATATGAAGTATTAGGTTTCTACATTGTGCCGTTTAAGTTCAGTATATAAAATCTAAACCGAAACACTCTTGATTTTACTTTAACTCTCTTCAGTGACAAACCATTGGAGCCATAGCCTCAGAAGTTGTGCTGAGGAGCACCTGGCTCTGAAAGAGATGAAGGACAGATACACACAACCAATGGGAATTCACATTCATTCAACCAGGAGAGAAGAAATGTCAGCAAATGAACTCGGAACATCTGGTAAATGCCTGCACACGTGCTCTCCTACACACTGCTGTGTATCGTGCCTGTGTGTCCTTGGAAGACTTTCAGGCAAGCTGAGCTCTACTTGTTATGACTTTACTCTTCTGCAAATTMAAATCAGTTTAATTCACAAATAATAGACCAGATTACTTTTTGACACTGAGAATGCAAGTCTCTTCCAAAGATTATACACACTTAACAGATACAAAATGGCACATGTATCTAGTGAACAAAGAGATTCTTCGGACATGTAAGCAAGTGATGAAATTGGCACAAAAACAGGTCTGTTTTTGTCCAGATACACAGACAAAGCAGACACTTGAAAGGCAAAATTGATTTCACAAAAATCTGCCAATACCAATCAAATCCTAATGTATTTTTGCATTAAGTCTTGCTTATGAATCTTATTCACAAAATCTTTAGACTGTATACCAGTTTTTAATATTCTGTGAATTGATTAGATTTTTTTCCCCTCTCCTGACTTCATTCATTTGATGTTTCAAGTCTGAAGCAAATAGTTTTAGAGCTTGTAAAATATGTCAAGAGATCAGGACATTTTTGACATTTTTAAATACATTGTCAAACTAATAAGAGTGCTCAACTTGTTTGTTTTTTTTCTGTATATTCTTTTGCATCGATGAAGCCAAGCACAGATGTTTCTTTGTGCTGTCTTGTCAGCGTGCCGCTCCGGTGTGCTGTCTGACAGCACACTATAAAGGCTTCACACCGGAACACCTGTGCTTAGAATCCCTTGTGCCATTAGCAAATATTTTTTGTGCTTCTGAGCCTATTTTTAAGTGAGTAACTCATTTAAACCTTTAAAGCACTTGTTTTTTTCTTTATTTCTTTCTTCCAGTCAGACTCAATTGTAAAGGTATACAAACCTAATTTGTGACAAGATAACAAAAGTTATATATGTATCTACAGTTCTATGAATCCTGCATGACTGCAACAGATTCTCTGTCTCTTACTCTTGCATTTTGCGAGAAGATTCACAGTTGTTGACATTTGTTACATGATCAGTGCATGCTCGAAGGGAGGATTCAGGACTTTTAGCACTACCCTCTGGAGGGAAGAGATAGTATAAAAACATTTCAAGTAATGTTGTATATAGAATGAAGACTAACATGAGAATGTACCACATGTACACTCATTTTACATTTATATTCAGAGCAGGTCCACAATGATCTGAATATATGTCATAAATRGATAAAATTATTCATTCAGGTGTGTTTGCATCAATGCACTGCATGGTTCTTTCCTCCCATGCTGCTTAGTTTGACTATACAGGTGGTTGTGATCCACTAAGTGCAGGTTCTGAGCAAGTTTAAAGGCAGAGCCAACGATGGAGAGGGAAGAGAGAGGGAGKGGATGAGGATGAGGAGACAATAGAAGATTGAAAGACTGAAAGACTTAACACAGAAGCTGAAACTGGTTAGACAGCAAGCAGCATGAGGAATCGGTGTACCGCAGACACATGAACACTCACCTACACCATCATAACTTCTCAGTGGGCGCCTCGATGTAATTTACAGTGAGCAGGTGGGGAGGGATGTTCAATCTGGTTCAATTTGATGTGGCTTGCACTGGAGCGGGATGAGACACCACTCATTCCACTAACTGTTTGTGATCATTTTCGTATCTCGCACAATCTGTCTTTGAATCCAGAGCAGCATCCCCCCATCCCCCCATCTCCTCTTATCTCCATCTTACACTAACACCCAGTGTTGCTTTGTATAAAAAAGATCAAATGAACTCCCTTCATTTCAACCTCTCTTGTTGGCATTTAGGTAACTCTAAGAAAACTAGTCACCAAATTTCTGGGGACATATTTGACATATTTTTATTTAATAAGTCACTGAGTTTCTTTATGGTTTACTCAGCTGGACAGCCRGTTGACTAATTAAGCACTCACAGTCCTTTGTTATTAATTTTGACTTTTTTATAYGGTGATCATGTTATGAAACACATAACTGAGACTAACCGTTATTTAATTTCCAAAAAAAAAAAAAAAATTATGAGTCATAACCTGCTTTGTGCTGAAGACAGATCATAGCTTGACTAATGTATGAAATTACCACAGCATCTCAAAGCCATTAAAACATGGTTCATTATACCAATAGCCAA